CAATATGTTAATAAGTGTGATGGTGTTTTTATCGTCCTTATCTTTTTCTGCGGTGCCAGGTTTTTCTTCTACTCCTCCTTCTTTTGCTCTTTTCTTCTCTCTCCTCTTCCTCGTGCTCCTTCTTCTTCTTCGTCTTCTCTTTGTTCCTGTTTTACTTGTTCTTGTTGTCGTTGTTCTTCGTCTTCTTTTCCACCAATATGAAAGTGGTCATCGAAACTGGCARTCAACTCGGACAACGGTGTCTTGACGTCCATCTCTTTTTCAACTTTTTTAACGTCCATCCCTTTTTGAACGTAAGCATTTAACTTACAATCGAAGTCTTTGACTTCGAACTTTTGGCACATCTTGATCAATTCTTTCAAGAATTGTGTGGCTTCTTCATCCTCTTTTAGGTGGTTTTGTGGATCAATCTCTAGCACAATGCACCCTATCTGTACACACGGGCGATCATATTTGTATGTCACTGTGGTCTTTTTTCCATCAGTCTGCTCTACATATCTGTGGCATGTGGCAGTGAAGTTTGTTGTAATCTCTATTACTTGGGTGAAGTTATTTCTGATGATAACCATCATTCTCTTTAATGTTGCTTGTCTTCCATAAWCCTCACCTAGTTYATCTTCTATCAAGAAATGAGGGTGAAGCTGATCATACCTGCTCCAGTATCTTCTTGCTGTAGGTCGGTCTTTTGCCAGCCTAAAACGCTCACCTATACGGGGAACTTTACGGCGGAAAAGACAATTTTCTTTGTTTTTTTTCGTGAGAATATTTTCCGATCTTAGGCCAAAKWTTATSWTCAATGCCGGTAGCCTTTAACATACACATACGAATAACCGACGATGCCGTTCGAGCGAAATATTGGGGATGAGATGATCCAAACGCCTTTGGGTCGTTAGGGTTGTCACTTGCGATTCCATCAATCCGCGCATGTTGGGAGTATATAACGCGGAGTCGACCTTGCTTCTTAAGTTCCTCGAGTGATTGAGAGACAACATTAAAAGAGGGATCAGTTTGTAAGAAAATTGTTTCTGGATATGATTTAAGCCATCTTGATACCCCTGAAAGTTGCCGCGCAACTCCTCTCATTGCAAGTTCATTAATTAATTCAGGACACTAACTGCCTAACTGTTGACAATGCTTTCCATACACTTGACAAACGATAAAATAACGACGTATACAGCAGATGTTTTTCCTTTTCGTGGTTGGGAACCCCGACTGAAACACCCGCACTCTTTTTTTTTT